CGGAGTGTTTTCGGTGGTGAAAATGCGAGACCATTCATGTGAACTGGCTCGACACAAATTTTAGGTGAAATGGTGAAGCATACAAGAAAAGATAGAAAAATAAACGCCGTGAACGCCATCTTCCACGGATTGCGACACCGAAATTCAAAATGGAAAACCTCCTGGGTGTTTTGATTTTTGCCAACAATCGTATTCGGGGACGTAATAATAACCTTATTAGTAGAAGAAGGGAATTACGTGATGCCTCAGACCCATTTTCCTTAGAAGAAAGAGAATTTACTAGGATGTGCAGGTTAGTTTTTGTTATTGCGAGGTTATATTACATTATTAAACATCGAAAACTGTTAAATAATTCATGCTTACATGACACGATAAGAAAATTATACCGTCGAACTTCTAATTACAGTACATACAAACATGAATGTACTACATATTTAAAAAATATAGATAGACGAGTCCTTTTCTTTACTTTTAACGGCTTTCCATCTTCCCGCCTTTCCTGCCTATAACCCCCAATCTCTCAACAATTTCCGATTTACAAGGTACGTACCATTATTTAGCAATATTAATATACCGAAAGTGGTAAATGAACCCGTTCTTTCATATAGCGAGCACGTAATCCGGGGAATAAACCCACGTGAGATGAAACTGCGAGAAGTGAGCACACTCGTCAAAAATACGTAATAGGCGACCTGGGCTTTAACTCCATCGGGCGAGTGTCGTTCCTCCCAGGCGCCATCTAGCGGTGAAAGCGGCAACTTCCCCCATAAGCATGTCGCCCTCTCAACGAACTGGCCCCCGACTCGCGTCGGCTGCTCGCTCCACCGAGCCCCACTTCTTTCTCTTTCGTCCCAAGCCCTCGTTTATCCTGACTCACCCTCTCTCCGGAACCTGCAGCGTGTCCTGGACGGATGCTTCTCATCGCAGCCGGTCTCCGGCGGAAGTATCGGTCGGCAGGGTCCTGGCGCGAAAATACGAACGCGCGACCCCCTACTTCCCGCCGTTCGAAATCTCCCGGTCGAGGCGCGGCATTTAAAGCGCCATCACGCGAGCCTCGCGCCACCTATCGTCGGTCCTCTTTCTCTCTCTCGCAGCGCCAACCACGCGGCTCCAGCTGACGCGCCTGCGCGGGAAATGGCCGATGCGCCCCGGCTCTCTCGAGGCCCGCATTTAATGCCCGAGGACGCGGCCCGGAGCGCCGTTCGTCCGGCTCGCCGTGGAAGAGGGTCGACCGAGACCAGGGCCCCTTTCAGGGACAGCGAGGCCACCTCTCGAGGTATCTCGCGGAAACACAATGGCGCCGCTCCGGGGTACGCAGGCGCGCGCCGATTGGTCGGCGCCGGGGGGATGTTGCTCGCGATTGGCTCACCGCCCGCTCTAACGGAAAGCGGCCGCGCGACCGCGCCGGGAAGTTGGCAACGGAACGGGCCTCGACCCGGCACCCGAGAGGCGTCCGAGGGAAACGAACCGACGGGACTCGACCGTCCCCGGGAACGACTCGCTTCGACGGCGCCCTCGCGAGGACGAGACACTCCTTCGACTTGTCGCGACGGATCGACGCCCCGCGCGGTTACCTCGGTCTCTCGGCCGAAACTGAGCGGACACCCGTCGGCGCGGAGCACCGCGGCATGTCGGCCAGGGACGTGCCACGAGCGGGCCCGGCCGCCTCGACTGGACTAGAGAGGGGGTCTCGGGATCGCCTTAAGGAACCCTTAACACTAGATTTACGGGACCCGTCAATTTGACGGAATTCAAACTTCGAAAAGAAATACCGAAGAAACCATAGCATTAATTTTAACCATTTTTGTATCGTAAATTCCTCGACTGGACTAGAGAGGGGGTCTCGGGATCGCCTTAAGGAACCCTTAACACTAGATTTACGGGACCCGTCAATTTGACGGAATTCAAACTTCGAAAAGAAATACCGAAGAAACCATAGCATTAATTTGAACCATTTTTGTATCGTAAATTAATCATTTTATCCGACCGCCTCGACTGGACTAGAGAGGGGGTCTCGGGATCGCCTTAACCCTCTATGGGCTGAATTTTTGTTTCAAATAAAAAAAAAATTGGGGAACGAAAAATCAGCAATTAGGAACCTATATATGCAAATGAAAAAAAATTGCTCATTTAAAATGTGACCTGAAAGTTACACGGGCCCTTAGAGGGTTAAGGAACCCTTAACACTAGGTTTACGGGGCCCGTCAATTTGACGGAATTCAAACTTCGAAAAGAAATACCGAAAAAACCTTAGCATTAATTTTAACCATTTTTGTTTCGTAAATTAATCATTTCATCCAAAGAATTTGTACACACAATTATTTTTTCCTAAGCCTTCTAATTATTAAAATCTGTATGTAGTATACCTATCTCTACGAAACCCGTCAAATTGACGGACTAGCTAATTTCATAAACGATCCATATATATTTGCTTCGTTGCAGGGAGTGTAAGGCGAAGATGAGAGTGAAAGTTTGCATTGAAAGTGGAGAAATGGAAGGATCTTCGGACAGTGAAGAGGAAAACTTCTTGAAAGGGTGTCGTAGCAAGAAAAGGATGCGCATTCTCTCTAGTTCTGACTCCGAGGATGAGAGGACGAGCATTCCAATCATTTCCGTGATAATTTTTAAAAAAGGACTTTTTACTTATTAATCATTCATTTAAACGTAAAGCCTAGTGTTGTTTAATGCAGACTTAATTTGAATAAATCGATTTTTTTAAAGAAAATGCGTGTTTTCGTTTACCCGTCAATTTGACGGGTGCTCGTAGAAACAGGTATATAAAAAACGCCCGTAAACCTAGTGTTTAGGATCCCTTAACACTGGAACAACTAGCGGATTCTTCTTCTTTTTTTTTTATAGGGTGGGCCATTTGAAACCAGTCATTTTGACTGGGCTTGGTACTCTAGTGTTAAGGGGTTACATCACTTTGACCCATCCAAAAATTACGGTTTTTCAAGAATTTTTTTTTTCAAGAATTAAAACGTTTTTATCCAAATTAAAGTACAGGAAGGTATTATACTACTATTAAACAAAAAAAATGCTTTTTTGTATTTTTTTTATTTATAAAAATGGCGGCTTGAAAGGCGATTTACCGGAGCGCTGCGAAAATCGATGATCGTGCGATGGGCACGGTAACTCAGTCCAGGTTTAAGTGAGAACAATAAACGAAAAAGAATTCGTTTCTGTAGCCCAAAAGCTAGCGAAATACGTAGCCGTTTTCAAAAATATGCATTTTTTACAAAATGTCATCGATTCGAAAGGAAAGATACGTAGTTTGCCCTAAAATTTGTTAATTAATGTTGCATAAAAAATGCTAATATCAATACATTGAAAAAACCATACGTATTTCGCTGGATAAACATATCGCGAATTAAATAAAAAAAGAATCAAGACGATTGATTGAAAATTGGCGGAGCTAGAGTGCCCACTGATTTTTAAAATGCAGTTTTAAGAAAAACGCATTTACACCTATACACCTGCCCACCGCACGATCACCGATTTTCGCAGTGAGCGAGTTTAATAGTAGTATAATACCTTACTGTACTTTAATTTGGATAAAAACGTTTTAACTCTTAAAAAAAAATTCTCGAAAAACCGGAATTTTTGGTTGCGTCAAAGTGGTATAACCCCTTAAGGAACCCTTAACGTGATACGAAACTACGATATATACATAAGAATAAGTGAAAATATTTAGAAAGCTTTTCTCTAAACTGGGAGAACCAATTTTTCCGAAACTTTAACACGTGATTATGGAGGCCCTAAGGAATAACGCGCTGCACGTGAAGTTTCATTTTACGAAAAAAAGATCATGCATTTGTCTCGGGCAAGTACCAGAAGAAGATATTTTCTTTCGAAGAATGATACTTCACGGGCATGAAACGTAGTACGTGATATGAAACTATAATATATAGATAAGAATAAGTGAAAATATTTAGAAAGCTTTTCTCCAAACTGGGAGGACCGAATTATCTGAAACTTTAACACGTGATTATGGAGGCCCTAAGAAATAACGCGCTGCTCGTGAAGTTTCATTTTTCGAACAAAATTATGCATTTATTTCGGACAAGTGCCAAAGAAAGATATCTCTTTTCAAAGAATGAAACTTCACGGGCATGAAACGTGGCACGTGATAGGAAACTATAATATATACATAACAAAAAGTGAAATTATTTAAAAAAAATTTTCTCTAAACTGGGAGGACCAAATTATCTAAAGCTTTAACACGTGATTATGGAGGCGCTAAGGAACAACGCGCTGCTCGTGAAGTTTCATTTTACGAAAAAAATATCTTGCATTTGTCTCGGACAAGTACCAAAAGAAGATATTTCCTTTCGAAGAATGAAACTTCACGGGCAGCGTGTTCTTCCTTAGAGCCTCCATAATCGTGTGCTAAAGTTTTTAATAATCGCGTGCTAAAGTTTTTGATAATTTCGTGCATCCAGTTTGGAGAAAGGTTTTATTAATATTTTGACTTTTTGGTATGTATCACCTTAAGGGGATATGAAAGGGCCATTCTATATATTGAAACATATGACAAAGTATAGAACACTTTTCTCCAAAGAGGATGCACCGAATTATTTAAAACTTCACGACGTGATTATGAAGGTTCTAACGAAGGTCTTGAAACTCACGAAATTTCAGTTTTCGTAAAAGAATGTCTTTTTTGGTTCTTGTCTGAGTATTCTATATATAAAACGCTAAAATATTTATGAAACTTTTCTTCGATTTGGAACTGCACCGAATTATTTTAAACTTCATGACGTGATTATGAAGGTTCTAACGACGGTCTTAAAACTCATGAAATTTCAGTTTTCGAATAAATTTTTTTTTTTGGTTCTTATCTAGGATAAATACATCTTTTTTTTTTTAAACAAAATTTTGCGAGTTTCAAGACTTTCGTTTGGACCACCATAATCACGTGTTAAAGTGTCACATTATTCANTATGTTTTATATATATAAGGTGTTATGACACTTTCATAATACCTTAAATGTTCCAGGAATGAGTCGTTTACGTAAATAAATTATGACAAAAAAAAGAAATTAGACGGTATTTGGTAGAAAAATGTTTTCTAGGGGTGCCCGTTTAAATGGTTAAAGGATTTAGACTAGTTCGATTAAACTTACTGGAAATAATTATGTTGATAATTATGAAAATGGCTTAGGTCGAATATGTATACATATAAATTGAATTTATCAATCAGTAGGTTTTGTTAACCGATAATAGAAAGAAAAGAAACTAGAAGGCATGGTATGAACGTTTTAAGTCTACGGTCATACACGTTTAAATAATTGAACAAAACATTTAGTCTAGTTTCACCTGAAGTACATGCCCGTAATTGTAAAAAAAGTCTACGTAAAAAATCTTTAAAAAAATGAGTTTATTCCACGTCGTTATTTTTGGCGACATTGTTTCATTTATGATAAATCGCCAGCTTCGCCATGAACGTGTAATGAATTTTTTCCTGAATTCTCTAATGAAATAATTCCTGAATAAATGAAAACGTCCACTAAAAGGATTCCTTCAGACGAGTCAACATTGCAAGAGTAATGCTCGAAGCCGAACTTCGCTACTTTTGGCGACATTGTTTCATTTATAATGAATCGCAAGCTTCGCCATGAACGGGTAATGAAATTTTTCCTGTAATTCCTGAATAAATAAAAACCTCCACTAAAGGATTCCTTCAGACGAGTCAACATTGCAAGAGAAATGCTCGAAGCAGAACTTCGCTACTATTGGCGACATTGTTTCATTTATAATGAATCGCCAGCTTCGCCATGAACGTGTAATGAATTTTTTCCTGAATTCTCTAATGAAATAATTCCTGAATAAATTAAAACCTCCACTAAAGGATTCCTTCAGACGAGTCAACATTGCAAGAGAAATACTCGAAGCCGAACTTCACTACTTTTGGCGACATTATTTCATTTATAATGAATCGCAAGCTTCGCCATGAAAGTGTAATGAAATTTTTCCTGTAATTCCTGAATAAATAAATACCTCCACTAAACGTCGAATTGCTTTCCTGACCTATATAATTACTTAAAACAAACTTTTAAAGCGGCTTTTCCTTGAAGCGGCAACGCGTCTCGATGAAACTCTTTATTCCTATGTTAAAGATAATTTACTCTTTAAGAATCTCTCAAGTGTAAGCGACGTAAAAGATTATACTATTTCTATAATTAGTCAAACGTTTTGTCGAGTTCGAATATTGCCATTTTAAAGGGCTCATTTTGACGGTGTTAATACTACAGATTTTTCAAAGAACCACAGAAAAGAAGCGAAACATTTAAATTCAGTCTAAGCGTGTTATTAACCGTACTTTTATTTGTACACGTTGATATAATTATTTATCATTTTACAAAGAATCATTGAATTATGATACATTATAAAGAACCGTATTTTCGCATACACCCTCGTGTGTCATAAGTTTTCATTCATTTACGACCGCATTAAATAATTTTAAATAGTCATTTCATCAAATTATGGAAAAATTATCGAAAAAAATATTAATAGACAGCCATAATTTCCAGTAATTTAAGTTATACGTAGTTGTGGATGGTCATTTTCATGGCCACATATTCTATAAACATATGTACAAAATATAAACCATGCGGAGCAATAACTTTTTGAGGTGTCTTATAACAAATTATGAAACAAGGTATTGCGAGAAAATCGGTTTAAAAGTTTCAACAGATTCTTGTACAATTACAACATGTATCTAAAAGTATAGTTAACGAACTCGCTTCGCTGCATTTACATTCTTCATGTTTTCTCTGCATCGGTCAGAAAAATGAGTATTTTCACCCTGTCAATAGATATAAGCCCTCGTTAAGAGGCAAGGGTTCTCGAGAATGGTTTGAATTGACGATTCAAATGGTTAGAGAAGAAGTAGCGGCGTTCTCGAGAGAAAATGGCAAAATGTCCCAGCCGCGGGCCCCTTGCTCCTTGGTACGCGTTTGCATCGGGCCGCCAAGAAGGGGGCCCGGTGTTTCTTTCGTAACGTATTTATTTGAGCCCCTCCGAACCCTACACAACTACAAAAGACCTGTGCCCCAAAGATGCAGGGTAGGCTCAGCCTTGCCCCTTCTCCTTCGTCGCCGTTCCCTCCCTCTTATCCCCACTTTAAAGTTTAAAGCATTCCCCTAGGTCGGTCCCTGAGTTCACGGCATCCCCTCAAACTCAAGCTCGATCCTGAGTTTTAGCTCACGGTTACTCGGATTTTGCTTTGACAATTTGACAATCCTAGCTATCATACCTATTAACAAGTCTTGCGAGCTCCTTCCGTCCTGGTCAGGACCTTCGCTTCATTCGATGATCTTTCGGCTGCATCTTCCTGGATTTTAGACTCGTTGGAACGGTACTTGGAATAGGAATCGCAGTGGTCATTCGTCAGTGCCTAGATTAAAGACAAATGAGTGGCTGGACGTAGAAGTACGACGCAGGACTTGCTTTGACAAATTGTAATAAAAATTATCATATGTCTACGATGACAAATATCTCAGGGCAGTCAACCTCTGGTGGTTCAAGGACCTGCATCGCAGAATACGTGATAGCCTTCACTTCTGCTCCTTGTGGGTGTTTCCCAATGACGAATTCCTCACCGTATGCTACTGCGGTTATCCTGAAGTTCTCTCGGTCGAACTCGGTAATCTTCACTTTCTGATAAGAGAAGAAAGCACTCTCTTTATAAGGGTTCCCATAAATGCTGGGAAGATGCTCTGAGATAACAGAAATATAAACGCGTGCTTCCACTTAAAGCAACGATTGTGAAGTATTCTATTTCCTGGTCAACTGGAAGTTTGTACGACACATGCAAATCGAAAAGTTAAAAATTAGGCTCCGAGACTTTGAAAGAAGCGCCATTATTTTCCGATCTTTGCTAAATATCCAGGCCATCGAGGAATCAATTGTCTCTTGGGTGAAGAATTGGGATTACACTTAATATGGACATCTACGTCTAAGCAATTAAGGGACGGTCAAATGTTACTAATTACTGACGTTGTGTCTAAGAATACCATTTCATAGTTTGAAACTTATATTACGTGCACGTACTGTCAGTCCCAAAAACAGGAAAGGCATTTCAATTCCTGCTTAGAATTTACCTTAGCGACTAGGAACGGTTCAGCACAAAACATGAAGAGGAGCTCGTCAAGAAAATGATAAAGTAGGCTCTGCATGTCGTGCCCCGTAGCTTCCACTTGGTGCATTTGTCGTATCTCTACGTAGTCCAACTCCGTCATGTATCCAAACATAGCTACTCCGCATTGTTCAAACGCCTCCTGCAGCGTATCGCCCCAGGCATGTAATCTGAAACGGTTTAAAAATCTAATTTAATCCATGCAACTTACATGAAACAACGGTTAAACAGATTTTCTAGAGTTCAAAATGCAAAATCCTTCCACTGGCACAATCAAGGCAGCAGCATCCACAAAGATAACCTAAAAAATGCCATGCTCCTACCTTAGTACGTTAAAAAATTATCACTTCAAAAGAGCACAACTTGTGAAACTTACTGAATGTCCGCCGTGTGATCCAAGTCTGAAAAGCAAAAGACGCAAGTATAAGGAAAGAAATGAAAAATAAATGAAATAACGCAACCTTCTCAAAAGTTACGCGCCGGTTTTGCGTTGTATGCAGATGACGCGCAAAAAGCCGGTCCTTGCAAGTATCGCTTAATTCACTATTTACCGTACTTTTAAGGCATTTATTACTCACATTCGTACTTAATGGGTGGTATCGTGAGATCTTGATCGCTCAGATCCTCCATGATTCACTTGCAGCTGATCCCGCGCACGTGAAGATGCACGTGAACATTCGCCGGCATTGGCCGATCAGCTGATGAGCTGTCAAGTTCAGTCAATGGCGCGTTTAGTTGCTTAGCGTAATCCCTTACTACGTAGATGGCGCGCCAGACGGCTCCCACGTGGAGACGGAATCCGGTTTAAGCCGGTATTTCATTAGCGCTACCTCGACAAGCGGCGGAGCGACGAAGCGCGAATAAGACGTTCTGATTGGCTGCAAATAAATAGCAGAATAGGGGAATTTCTGCCGCACATTCTCTGCAGCCAATCCGCACCTCTTATTCGCGTTTCGTCGCTATATCGTATGGCTGCAAGCAGTAGGCCTATTCTCTAACTCGTAACGACCAGAGATGAGTTGGGAGATTGCTCACGTGCAGGGTCGCGCGATCGCACCGTGTGCTGCCCTCTGATTTCGTACGTTAGCTTTCACCGTTTTTTGCCCCCAAGGGCGGCGCAACGAATTTCTGGTAGGGGATCGCGCAATCGCGATGGCTGTGCCATCTACCAGTTGCCGTTGGCGGCTCACGTATTCGTGATGGTAATACCATGCGGCAGTTGACG